ACTTTATGTTTATCTTCAAACACTTTATGTTTCTGGCCCATTTTCTCTTTTGGTCCCTGGAAATCTCTAGAGAAGTCCATATAATTTTCAATCAAGTTCTAAATACTTAAAGAGATCTTGAAGAACTTCGTTTTACAGATGAAAGACCTAAAAATGTTTAAGTGATCTAGTCAAGATTACACAAGTAGCTGATGTCTGTCCCCCCATTTTTTGGTTAGGCATTATTCAGAACCCTACCAGAGTGTATGGGTAGTTGCTAGGAGTCTTCTCACCACAGCAGGAAGGCTAATTAACAATCTACACAGGCACATAAGTAAGAACTTACATGACCTCACACTGACATACAGGCTAACACTAAGCACAAGTCCACAAACTTTGAAACATATCAATTTAAATAAACAAGAAGCTACACTCCAAGAACAGGCTAACTTCTCTTGGAAAACAAGTCCATTCTAAATTCTTGACTTGTCTTTACCTTTACTCTCAGCAGCGTTGTCAACAGGTGTATGAGTTGTTACACATATTTATAACCAGCTAGTATAGAAGTATTTTTCTGTCCAACTCCCTAATTCCTCTGGCCAAAAAGGATCTCGTTTTCTTTCTGAATTCCTGTAAGAACTGAAGTGCCTAGTAATACTACACAGCTGGCCTGCTGTGGTTAGATACATGTCTTACTTTCCTATTAGATTACTAAGTTCCTAAACTTCTTTAATAAACTCCCTGAAATCAGGATTAGATCTTTTTGTTGTTGTTTTTTTTTTCGAATCCCCACAAAGCCTAGCACACCTATGTGTTCAACAAATGTTTGGTAAATTTATAAACAGATTGATCATTTCAAAGTTTGGTGTTGCCGTAATTCTAGGACTCAAATGTTGTAATACAGTACAGTTAAAACATATCTATTCTCAACGTGGACAAAGAAATCTAAAAAAAAAAAAAAAACTCGTATCTAAATGCCAAAAAAGAGGTCATATAACATTAACTTATAATTTTTAAATGGACAGTTTTTCATTATCAATTTTTTGATGGTTCTTTAATAAAAAACAAAATCAACAATAAAAATGAAGAAATGTCAGAATACCAGATATGTTTTCCTAAAAAGCTATGGGTAATACTTGAAAATTATATTTTTCAACATTCTAAGGGCGTTTGTTATTTAATAAAGAAGTCCTGTGGTTAAATCACTTTTGTGAAGAGAATATTCACTCAATAATTTATCGTTTGTATTATGCCACTCCTTGGCTTCTGTTGTTCTTGCCTTTCCAAATGTCAATCTTCTGTGAAACCTTTTATCTTCCCAACTACATGAGATCTCTTCTACCTGCCTTATGTTACAATTATGTACATCATTTTTAATCTCTGCCAATATATTATAAATTCCATAAGAATGCAAATGACTTACAAATTTTTGTAAACTTTGATCAATGTGTTGAATTCATGTCAAATTGGAATAACATCAACTGCCCATAAACATCTGAAAATGCAGTCTGCATGCCTTATGGCCAAATGGTGAAAATTTTTAATTAAGAATCATCATGTGCCATCATTATTTTCATTAATATTTTAATATTTACAGAAAAGAAAAAAACTGCTAAGGACTACTTTTCAGAAAAATAAACAATATATATAATGAGAAATTTATAATATCTGTTGCATAAAGCCTCAAAACATTCACTTATCTAAAAGTAGTTAGAAATGTCTTAAATAGCAAAATAGTTGAAAATGTCTTAGAGACAAAATAAAGTATAATAAAGCTCATACATGGTAGAAGATCATCTCCTTGGACTATCCAGGATCTGACTTATTGCAGGATAACTTCCAGAACTTAGATCATACATTGAAAAGAACAAAATGATCAAAAGGTGATGTTTTAAAACGTGACATATAGAACTATATTTACAAAATCACAATTGACTGTTTAGAAAAACAGCTGTAACCACCAAAACACAAGTGAAAACCATCATAGCTTACATGTTACCACTAAAACTATACACATCAACTGGGACTGTCCATTACAAACTGCACCATCATGTCAATATAGCACAAACTGGAACATCATGACATCATCAAGCAGTCATTCACAGCCCAGCCAATCACACCACCCACTGTGCCCAGGGAAATACATAAGACACCGTTCTTCAATTACAATATCATAAACTCAAAATCCTTTTAGAACAATCCCATTCTTCAAAATTTAACAGTTTATATTATTGCAAAGTCAATTAGCAAGGTAAAAAATTTTTAAAAAACAAAATTTACCAGTTTATAGACTCTGAAATAATCTATCCTATTTTTAAAAGGTTCTCAAGTTATCATGAAATACACCATCAGCTAAGAACCATTGGCTAGCTATAAGACAGTCTTTCCTTCTACACCAACTATGTCCAGAAGGCCTTCCCCACCCACCCACCCACATATACACACACACTCTTCAGAGCACGCACTCTGAGAAGAAGGAAACATACTACCAAGAAAAGCCGGCCAGATGAGAAGTCACAAGACCTACATCCCCGTCCTGACTTTTTTTCCCTTTTTAGTCATCTAACCCAGCTTGTTCATTTGATTGCTCTAAAAATCAAGTGGCATGCTCTATGAAGCAGAGCTTTGCTTTTTATTTTTATTTTTACTACACAAACATAGGCATTCAGGTATTTGTTAGTTGATTCCACAGTGCTTGCAAACAGCTTGTTCTCACTTTTTTTAAGCAAATCTATTTTTTATAGAGCCCAAAAGGTCATTTCTAGTTCATGGCAAAACTATAACTAGATCACTGCATTCAAAACTAAGGTATTAAAATGAAATGGTGTGCAAAATGGGTTTGTATTTGCATTTGCGAGAAGGCCAAAATAACTGTCACAGGTAGGCATCCTACATCAGTTAAATTTTGAGCCGAATTTGGGAAGATGAAAAGCAAGGACTCTGTTGTTACAACGTAAAAATACAGGCTAAAGTAAGATCGATATGTAACATAGAGGCCAAGGTAAGGAGTACATTTAATCGAATATAAAGTCAAAGATAGCAGGAGAATATTTGACAAGTTTAAATTTCCTAATACAGCTATTAGGAACAACTACATATTCTTAAGCCAAGAGTGATATGGTAAAATGGTATTTGAAGAAAATTATCCTGGCAGCTGTGTGGAGGATGAACTGAAGTGATCAAAGATGAGTGTCAGGAAATCTAGTTTGAAAGCTTTCATATTAAGTAATACAAATAAGATTCTAAAATAAGGTGGTGACTAAGGACATCAAAAGGGGTAAATCTGATAGATACTGCAGGGAGTCAGCTAGACCTGGTGACAGGTTGAATTAGGGAGGTGGAAAAAGATCTGAATCACACCTGCACAGCACTAACAGTTCTTATACCGCCTTTTCCAGACTGCATCTGAACCTGCTTAGCTCTATATACCAGCTCCGCAGTGAGACAACACTCCACTTTAGATAAAAGCAATAAACTACCACCAGCATCATAGTGGGAAGATACTTCATAACCAAAGGATCCATATCTGTTTCTTGACGGAGGAAGCCTGTTCTTCTAACCCTGGGGAACTTCCTCCCTATCTACACAAGTGGGGAGCAGAAAAATTTCTTCTCTCTAATCCCCCAAAGATTCTCCACACACTTGAAATCCAAGCTCAATTCCATACGGATCTTTTAAGTCACGTGTACACAAAACACAGATGGCACCGTTGATAGTGATAGGTGTAACAATATAAGTCAGGCAAATTCTGTTTTTAAAGGGTTCATTCTAAACTGAAGCAAAGCCAAGTTGGCTACATTTAAAAATTAAAATGGCCAAAAAGCAATCTTGTGGGGTTATTTTTAATGTATCACAAAACATTAAAAAATAGATAAATTCTGTTCCAGAATGCACTGCTACGTAATGATTCTGCAGTTTTGCTGAAGCTTTTTTATTTTCTGCAGTTTTAAAAACATGCTGTTGGAAAGCAGACATCCGATCAAAGTGCTCCCCCTTGTCTAAAAAGCATACCACTATGCATTTTCCAATTTTATCAAACAGAATGTTTATCAATAACAAAGTGTATTTAATAGAGGTCTGGTTGCCTACAGTTCTTTCTAAGAAGGACCATGTATAAATTTAATTTTAAAAAAAGAACTCATGTTACTCTATGGGAGTCTGCCTATGAATAAAAGAAGATCTAGGGCTTGAATATTCCATTCTCAAAAAGAACTAATGAGTCCAATCTCCTTGAGAAACATGTCTATGTCATCTAGAATTTAATCTAAAATGTTATGTTTGCATACACTTTCCTCACACAAACAAAAAAAATTTCCCATTGCCTTTAAAAAGGAAAAAACCAGCCTACTTTGCAAACAGATTAAAATATTACCTAGAATGGTTACTAAACTGCGACCTCCTGATAAATAAGATAGCTCGCCAGGCCACTGTTACTCTGACCTTTCAATTCTAAGTCTTTCGGGAGCAGAAGATGAATTTTTCTATTTTCTTTCTGGAATCAAGATCCTGCATATCAGGAGATACACAGGGTCAGCTTTAAAGCCACAGGCTCCAGTAGCTAGCTCCTCGCTGCCCTAGCACAACGGGCAGGGGGAGCCAAGGCGCAGCATCGCCTCCACGCTCCGAGACCAAGACCAAATCTCTTCGCCTCCACGCCTAGAGCAGGTGCAAAACCGACGCTCTGGGGTTTCAGCAGCTGCAACCACCTTCCTCCACCGCAGACCCAAAGGCTGCCCTAGGAGGTACCTTCCAGTCCAGTCACCCCGGGCCCGTTTGCTGAGGGTGAGCAGTGCGGTGGATTCCTAATCCTTCCCCCTGACGGGTAATTTCCTACACTGGCCGCAGGACGCAGAGTCCTGTGGCCCCCAAAGGAAACTAAACCCCAAGGCTGCAAAGGGGCCGTGGGTGGGGCCCACCAACATCTCACAGCCTCCCGGGGAGACGTGGGCCCCGGACAGGGGGTCCCTGCCCTCGCGTCTGGACCCCGGTCTCTCCCCCTCGGGCTCCCAGACGCCGCTCACCGTGAAGGGGACATCCCCGACGCTGCCCACGGAGTAGCAGTTGTCTCCAGGGTTGACAGCCCCGGTGAGGACCTGATGCAGATGCATCTCCGGAGCCCGGGCTGGACAGAGGAATGCGCGAGAGGGGCGACGAGCCCCGCGCCCGGCCCTCCTCCAGCTGCGAGAGCCGCTTCCCTCTCCGCCTCCTTCAGCACCCCGCCCCGCGGCGGCTCCGGCTTAACGCTTCGCTCTCCTCTCGCCTTCCCCCCGCCTCATCCCTGCCATGGGAGATCCTCGACCGCAGCCGCCGCCGCCCGGATCGCCGCTCAGCTGCGGAAATGCCCGGATGCTCCCACTGCCTGCTGCACCGGCGCACAAATGCGAGAGGGAGGAGGGCAAGGGTGAGTATGAGGCGGGGGAGGGCGCCTAGGGGAACGCGCGAGCCGGGCGCGTGCTGGGAGGGACGCTCCGCCCGAGGGAGAGGGGCGGCGCGCGCGCGCCCACCAGCGGGGAGCGACAGTCGAGGGTAAAGCCCTCCTCCCGCGGCTAAGCGCTTAGCTCAGTCCTCCCGCCCCGCGTTTGCGCGTGCGCGCGCAGTGGTTTCCAGGGCAATTGAGCGCGCCGCGCCGCGCCGACCCTCCGTCCCGGGATTGCGCGCGCAGACGTGCGGGCTTTCCCTTGGAGCCTCTGGGGCTGCGGCCGCCAGGGCGGGGTGGAGTAGAGAGCAGGTCGTGCGGGATCTCGCAACAGTCCGACGCCGGGGACCGCGCGCCTGTTGTGCTGTGTGTTTTAATCTAGTCCAGAGTACAGTGTATAATGATCAGTGCATCTGACCTCAGGAGGAGGACACTAGGCACCGGGAAATTCCACCTCAGGAAATCGTAGAGCCCTTCAGTCTTTTTTAAAGTTCAGTGCATAAGATATTTTATTTTCCATAAACAATAAAAGCATCTTGAGACTTGTCAGAGAAGCCGTACTCTCCTGACAGCAAATTATTTTGCTCCCACCTTGTGTCATGGTTATTCTAGACAGCAAAAGGTCCCCTCTAGAGACAAATGACTCTGGACTCTTTTTTTTCATGGGTGATGTCATGGATTCACAGAATCGCCTGATTTTCCAGACTGTCTGCTAAACTTTGAGTGGTTGGTAGAGAGATCAGATCCCTGCTCCAGGTCATTAATGGCAAATATTTTAGCCCGTACAGTGCATAAATCACAGGACAAGTAGAAGGGATACCAAGACACAACTATCTATAAAACCAGGCAGAACGCCAGAAGTGTTAGAATTGAATATGAAAGTCTGTGTACCACAAAAGAGGAAGAATAGTGTTGACTAAGGGAAAGGGTAAAGTGTTACGGAGACATAACCTGACGTAAACACTGGGTAGAATTTTGACAGACTGAAATGGATGAGAAACACGGCATTCAAAAACAGTAGACAGGATGTGTTAGAGGAACAAAGATTAGATTAATGTTTGACGGTGGGGAAGGGAAATAACAGCTAGCAAGAGATAAAAGTATCCAAGTGGTCTTATTACCTTGGCCTGCCTGAATATGGAGTCTTGAATGCTCCACTAAGAAGCCCCAGATTTCACTCTGCATGCAGTGGGGGTCCTTCAGATATTTCTGAGCAGAAATGTATATAATCAGAGCTGCTTTAAAAGGAAGATTACTTTGTAGCCCTTTGAAGCACAAAGTGAAGGGTGGGGGAGGTTGGAGGCAAAGATTTGGCAGTGGCTGGTAATCTGTTTAGTGCAAAGGAGCAGGAGGAATCAAAGATAATTCCCAATGGCCTAGGGCATTTTCCTTTTCCTTCTCATTTAGCAGCATAACTGTTCCCACAGTCACCCAAATTAGAAATCTCAGAGCCAGTTTTGGCATGTCTCTCTCTCTCCCCACTCCCCCATATCAAGTTCCCTAATTCATGCCCCTTATCATCATCTCCACTGCTTTTTACCATCATTTCAGATCTTATCATTTCTCATTTAACTACAGTAATAGCCTCCCAAACGATTTGACTGCCTTCCATCTCTTTGCTTTCCGATCTATCCAAAAAAAAAAAAAATTTTTTTTGAGACAGGATCTCACTCTGTCACCTGGGCTAGAGTGCAGTGATGTCATCATAGCACAAGCAATCCTCCTGCCTCAGCCTCCCAAATAGCTGGGACTACATGTGTGCGCCACTATCCCCATCTAATTTTTCTATTTTTTTTGTAGGGACGGGGTCTCTCTCTTGCTCAGGCTGGTCTTGAACTCCTGACCTCAAGCAATCCTCCCACCTTGGCCTCCCAAACTGCTAGGATTACAGGCATGAGCGACCATGCCCAGCCCAGAGAAACTTTCTTAAAGGAAAAATTCCTGTGTATAAAATCCTGTCGTAGCTCCCCACACCCTAAAGTTTGAAGTCCAAACTCAGCTTGGCTGACAACCCAGTTCAGTCTGGTTTCTGCTTAATCTTCCTTCCTTATCTCGGGATGTTTTCTCACACTCACTAGGCTCCAGCCCCACTAAGCTAATGCTATTTCCAGAGCATGTTATGTTCTTTCATACTTCCTGGCCTTTATTCATGCTCTCTGCTCTGTCTGGAATGCCCTGCCTCCCCTTGTTGACCTGAAAAACCACAGTTTAGCTCAAAAGTCACCTATTCAGTAAAACCTTCCTAACCGTCCAAAACACTCTGTAAAACACACATATCACATATCCCATAGCAATGTATTTGTTTGCATGTCCATTTTCTCTAGTACAGCCTTGATCTTTTAAGTCAGGTCACTTTCTGATTTTCTCTAGTACCTGAATCATAATACTTTATTTGCTGACATATAAGATTTACATATATGCTGCTGAAGGAAGCACAATACATAATATTTGAATGTGAATAAGAGTACCCAATTTTATAAGAAAAATTTAAGGGATAAAGAAGTACCTTTCATTATTTGTGAAAGTGTTTAAATGATTTCACTGTGGTTTTATGGAGAGAAGTATTACATGTTCGCGTAAATACAGTAAACTTTGTACGGTATACTGAGTTCTAGGAAACCACTGGTTCTGTATATTTAATTATATACTACTGACCATGAATAAAGATACTAAGCTACAAAGCTTATATATATACTGAAAATAGAGCAAACAGTAAAACAAAACAAAAATCATCAGTAAATGAAGCCCCATGCTGTGCATAAAGAACCATGAAGGCAAATACTGGTGCTGTATCTTGCTACTAACAACTAGAAAGCATGTCACAGTATGAAATAAATTTGAGAAAATTCCGATATTGTACACACAGACACAGAATGTATCAGTAAAAATGTATATAAAGCCAGAAGTTAAATACAATAAATTTAAATAAATCCATTTACATGAAGGTTTAATTTATGTAGACAAACATTTCAGCAAAAACTGGAACAAATCTTACAGCAAAGTAATAAATTTGAAGAAATTCCAACGTTATGTTCATTCTAAAGGCAAATGTTTTACCAAATATTAATATATATTGAATAAAAGAAAAATTGAATATGTGTTACAGAAGCTAATGTTTTGGCAAAAACAACCATATAACAAGAAGTGAACACTGTTTCTAAGTGTCATAAAGATTTTAATCTTTACGCTCAAAATATTTTTAAAGCTTGATAACTGTTGCTATTCCAATAGATTCTAAATGAATTCGCTTAATCTTTGAATTAGAAACTGAGTCAAAATCATCACCAAACAACAAATCATTGCCAAGAACATTACTAATTCCATATTATTTAAACCATTTCACACTTTGCTCTTGTTTTACAGCATTCCATGAAGTTTTGACCTAGTCACACGGTTGTGAAATTGTGGGGTTCTTCCGTCTTCTTCTCAGTATCAAACTCTAAATCTAAAGCTTGCATGCACCTGGTCCTCTCTTCCCTTATGAATCCTTTAAATATGTGGTCCCCAACCCCAGGCCATGGCCTGTGAGGAACTGGGCTGCACAGCAGGAGATGAGTGTAGTCAGTGAGCAAGCTAAGCTTCATCTGTATTTACAGCCCCTCCCCATTGCTCACATCACTGCCTGAGCTCCGCCTCCTGTTCTATCAGCGGTGGCATTAGATTCTCATAGGAGCATGAACCCTACTGTAAACTGCGCATACAAGGGTTCTAGGTTGCAAGCTCCTTATGAGAATCTAATGCCTGATGATCCGAGGTGGAGCTGAGACAGTGATGCTAGTGCTGGGGAGCGGCTGCAAATACAGATTATCATTAGCAGAGAGGTTTGACTGCACAATAAATGTAATGCGCTTGAATCATCCCAAAACCATCCCCCGCTCCCTGGGCCCAGATTATGGAAAATTTGTCTTCCATGAAACCAGTCCCTGGTGCCAAAAAGGTTGGGGACCGCTGCTTTAAATGAATTTTTGATAGCTATATCTCAGGGTTGCAACTGGCTAGTTAAATCTCCTGGAATTACAGCTGAACCTTTTATTGCCCCACCTGATCAACCAAAACTCATTCCAGACTAATATGGCAGGTTTCCTTAGTACCCAACAGGATAGCTGGGTCCAGCTATCCTGGACTGTCCACAATTTCTTTTCTCCCTTGTTCATCCAAAGTTTTTCATAGACTGAAAATAAATTGGGGATTCTTTCTTCTGATTTGGAAATGGCTTTCTTTTTAAAATTAGGAAAAGTGGTAGTTTTGTATTATTAACAAAATATGCTAATACATTTGCAAGATATAATTTATCGTGTCCACAACTCTTAGTAGTAACAAATGTTGTACCTTTGGGGTTGGGTTTAATGGCATATGGAACAACAGAAGGACTTATTTTCCCAGCAGTATCACATACCCATGTGTACTAGTTATCTATTACTGTTTAAAAAATTAGCCCAAAATGTAGTAGACAAAAATAACCATAAACATTCATTATCTCACAGTTTCTATGGATCAAGAATTCAGTAGTAGCTTAGCTGGGATCTGGGTCAGACTCTCTCATAAGATTGCAGTCAAAATGTCAGCTAGATGCTAAATAAAAGAAGCTAGACACAGAAGACCATGTATTATATGATTTCATTTATATGAAATTTTCTGAAAAAGCAAACCTGTAGTCATAAATACTAGAGTGGGGATGAAGGTAGAACTGAG